TCCATATTCGTAGCAAAAATTTAGCATTAAATTTATATAAACTGGCTGGCACCACTCCTAGCGATTTTATGTTATTGCGGGCTCGCGGTTTCGGGATTCCCTTTAGAACGTTCCAAACTGCAACGCATACGGCTAATTGCTAGTTTGCTACCAGTATTGTCCAGTAACCCATCCAGATACCATCTCTTCCGCGACGTTAGTTTTCGCGTTTCGTCTCTATCTTCGACGGCTATGATGGAAATGTGGCTACTCACTTCTCGTCGATTGAGGCCTGCCGTCATGACGGGCTAAGAACTCATCTCCTGGCATGACCTCCCGAGCTCCGGTCGGAGCACCCGCCATCCTCTGCCATAAGCTCCGCCAGCTTCAGCTTCATACGAGACGTAAGTCCGCGGTAGCACTTTGTCGTGGGAGTGCGTGCCATACTGTTTCGGAAGCTGACCTAGCATTACTCTTCCCCTTGACCTACTGAAATAAAGGTGCTCTACATATTAGTCTTCTATTTCTATATATGAGAATATTTGAATATCATTTAGTTTTAACGGCATGCTAACATGCAGTGTATTTTAAGAGATAGACGGGCTGTGCCCAAAGCNATCTTACATAGAGATAGTCTGACATTGCAAGGTCAGATAAAATCGAAAGTGGTCGACGAAATGTTGAACCACAAAGTAACATCATTTTCCCAAGGTTTTGGATTTGTTTAAAATTTTATGGAACAAACAACCCAAGTAACCAAATTGAAGAATTTTAAACGTTTCGAGAGGCATATATTAGAAGCTAATAGGTATTAAATAAAGGGTGTCTTAAAGTTCTTCATCTCTTTCCTCAGCTTCGTTAGAGTTATCTTATCTCTTCACACAGCTGAACGGTTTTTACATCGAGAATGGAGGCTACACTGGAGAAGTGGTGAGCAACACTCTATTTTTCGAAATCCAACGCAACTGGACCGGGATCTTGATAGAGCCGAACCGGAGGAACTTTAAGAAATTATTGTCAAGAAATCGAAAAGTACACTCAGCTAATGCGTGCCTTGCGGAAACTAAAACAGCAGCCAAAGTAGGTAGCAGGAGTGAAAACTCTGCTGATAGATCTTATTTTCCATCGCAATCACCTCGAGGCAGATGAATTTATTGAAAATAAGTCAACCTTGCTCAAAAATGATTAATTCACATTTATGTCTTGTAATTATTTCGTGTTAATTTCAGGTTGTTTTCAAGAACTTCAATACCAAGGGAACTATATTTGCTCCTCATAATTATTTTAACATCGGATACCCATGGGACCTGAGCATTGCAAAATGTTTTCCGGTATACTCGTTCCTGCTAGCACTGGGCACCACCACCGTCGACTTCTTCAGCCTCGACGTCGAAAGTTCCGAGTACAAAGTCCTGCAGTCCATCCCCTGGGACAAGCTCGATATCAAGGTGAATGCTACTGCAATATTATATCAAATGTTGCCATTCAGATTAAGAGAATACATTCAAACGCTAAAAAATTATTCATCATCCATTTCAAAACTTATTTACGAACAGGTGCTGCGTTTCAAATGTGTGTGAGTTGACATTCAGATGCCCGGTCGTGTCACCTCCCGCGCTCGGATTAGTTGACACCCCTGCCACGCCCACCAATGGCCGGATGTAAATTATAATGGCTAAAAGCGAGGTTTTAGGTTGGAAGAGATTTTAAAAGCAAATGACCCCAGCTGAATTGAAAACATATCGAGTTAAATGGTATACAAAAATATAATAAATCGCATGCAGAAAGAGAGTGGAGCTGGGGGCGAGAATAAGTGCGTGTTATTAAAACAAAAATAGCAGTGAATGCCTAAAAAAGACAAAACCAGTACTTAGTTCAGATGTAACGTATCATTAAACATAAACAATCTCTAATCCTAGCACTATCTCACGAGTGTACACCACGACTAACCTCGGCGTAGCTAGGAGTGGAATCCCTTCGGATTCCCCTGAGCAATACGCCGGTAGGGATCAAGCAGCTCATATACCAGCTGACAGATGAGAAGCCAGCCGACGTCGGAGCTGGTCAAGCTTTATCTTCGGTTTAACTGAAAGTAGGAAATGTGCAGCTTACTACATCATAGCTTTGTACAGTTTATTCAATACTTTCAATACCAAAATGATGGAGAGGACAACAGGAAAATTTGAGTGCTGCTCCAACTAAAATGTTAATGCTGTGAACAGCAGCGAACGTCCAACCCCACGTCACCCGGTCCCGACTCTTCAAAGCATGACGTGAGTTCAACTGGTTCAATTTGTCAAGCTGCAACGAAATGCTACTGCAATAAGAGCTGAGCTGTAACCTTCCACCTCATGTCTTAGGATGTAATGGTTTTGCATCGAAGTCATCGATAGGCATCACAAAATTGCGAACTACTGCTGCTCAGTTATTAAAGTGCGAGTACATATATTTATTCTTTAGAAACCGTTGAGGAGAGTGATGACAGAGAAACCCTCATACTTACGGAGAAATTAACGTATCTCCGTTTTAATCCAATACTAAAATTATCGAGGCCAAACTCGAGCAGCGATGTTCAAGTACACCATGGAGTCAGTTCAACGACTTTATCCCCGAGCTCGCGGAGAGTGAAAGAATATGCAGAGCGCGAAAACAAAGTTTAATTATTGGATTTTGAATGAAAAAGCTCTGCATTGCTGATAAATGCTTCCTAATTATTTTCAGTTAGAAACGTTAGGAGAAACGGGTACAAAATATGTAAAGTTTGGACCAAAACAAAATTATCATTAGGTTGCTCGTGAAGCCATCGAACTCAAGCATATGGAGTGGATCACGCCGGGCAGTGTAGTGAAGTCGCTGAATAAATTAACTGTCCCCAGACTTATCCGCTTCACGATGATGCCGTCTCAAAAAAAGGTCGTGCCAAGAAAAATTGAAGAAATTCCTGCAACCGAACAAGCGATGTTCCTTTACATCCAAATACCTAACACGCTCTATGCCATTTTAAAACTGCCTATTGCAGGTTGACTCCAAAACAGAAGTCATTCTGATGAAAGTAAATCTTCGATTATTTTGTATCATTGAGGGTTTAAAGTTATTAAACTTGCATCCCTCATCCGATACATAAACCTATGAATTAATATTAGCATAGGGTTCTTGCTGTGAACAGCGAAAGTGTTTGGTATTGAACGGAATTTAGGCGCAGCAGTATTTCAAATCATATAATCAAAGATCGATTTCAGAATAATCACTGGATTTGAAATCTTACAGCAATTCAGGACGTAACTTTGTTATCCCCTCGAATTTTAAATACATAAGAAACTTCTATTGAAGCCATGCTACGATGAAGTTTATTTTGTATAAATGCCATTCAGTTCAACGCTATTTTGATCTATTAATTTATGATAAAATCAAAGACCAAAGTTTAATAAACAATTTTTAAGAAACGAATTTGAAAAAATTTTAAATTGATCATTATTTTGATGATAGCAGACAACGCTCAGAATATAGGCCTTGTTTATTTCTACTGCGCCTGCATTTACTTCATCCGGTGACGATGGAGCTCCCGGAGACCGAAGATTGTTCGTAAAAATTATCTTTCTATCCAAGAGAAATCATCTCGTGCGTTGAGGCTAAGATTACAACATCAATCAAACCTACACAATTCGTAACGCACTTTTGTGAATTAATTGAATTAGTTGAGGAATTATAATTGACTCACACGATCAGACAAAAATCGAGCATAAATGGATTCAGCTGATATTATTTGAAATTTGAGATATGAAAGTGAAACTGGCGTTGATCGGGCCAGTCGTATGAGGAGGCTGAATTCAAATATTTATATATTGAAGAACATATATACAGAATGGACGAGGCGATTGCAATATTGTAGGAAAAACTATATTAGCAAAATATGGCGTCTAATTAAAAATTCTCAAAGGCGTTACACCTGCGAGTCCTTAATATGAAGATACTGCAAAGAAAAATTACTAATTTAACCAACTGACGGGATAATTCTACATATGAGAGACAATCATGGAAATGGCTCAAATAATGACAAAGGAACGAATGACAAAATTAACAGACCCAAGATTTTGATGTGTCTTAGTCTTGTACTCATGCTGGTAGAAGGTGGCAAATTAGAAATAAAGAAGTCAGTAAAAAGAAAATACTCTAGGCGGAAAATAAAAAAATATACAGTTGAAGACTTAGCTTTGGAAAGAAAATAAAAAGATGAAGAACGTGCGTCCCAGCTGAGGGAACGTACATGTCCCTTGGCCAATACTGGAGACTCCGTTCGCAGTAAAGTTGAAACTTGAGTCTAATAAAAATTGATTATTTATTTGTCTATAGAATAATGATTGACTTAAATTATGGTCAATATATGCTGGAGATGTGACGCGAATGAATGCTGGTACGTGAATCCTCTTACCCTATCTGAAACTGCTACCTACTAAAATTACGAAACCTAAACTCAAAATCTGAAAACAACATGAACAAAAGACGAAATTGAACTAATAGAAATGAACAAAGAACGACGAAAATTATTAATGGTGGGAAAATGTGGTTTGGATTTAACAATATAAATACTTTTCAGTTCCAAAATGCCGATATTTTTCATCAGTGTCGACCAATCCAATGGCCATAAAATTTAGGATTTAACAGGCTCACCTTTTAGCAGATTGTGAATAAAACGACCGTATCTTTTATCTGAGACAGTAAAAGGAGCAGGAAAAATCAATAATTTTGCAGTGCATGCGTGTTCCATGATACGGAACAAGGATATTTCATGGCTTAAAGATTGAGTGTTTGTCGAGGCTTGATTCCACCGAGTTTCCTTGACTAAAATATTATAGCAGCTAGCATCGATCTATGATTGTGTGCGCGCATCACTTCACTAACCTCAATTCCATTTTTTAATTAAAAAGAATATATAATTGGAAATAGTTCGTAGTTTTAACAATCAACAACATTCTAATGAATCAATTGTGGTAAATTATAATTAGTAGACCGTAAAACTCTCGACAGAATAGTATCATAAGACAGAATATATACTACACTTATAATGTACACAGATTCAACATCGTAGAAGAATCTAATACTTGTTTCGTGCCATCCATAATTTTTAGCAGCACCACAATCATGCCAATTGTCGTACCAAGATCTTTCGCATTAAAATGTGTTCTGTTTTTATTGTGCGTCGTGTTGGTCTCGCTGATCAGTTTATACAAGCCCGCGCAGCTCGCCCAACTGATCAATTTAGAAGCAGCGGCTACCGAGGACGAGGGTAAGACGATTTGATTTGCTCATCGAATCTCATTTATAAATTTAAAATTGTGGGCCATTGATTTGTTATCGGAATAGAAATTTATGCGCAATGTCGAGTGTAAGTTTTCGCTGTTGGGATGAAACTTAAAAAAATGCCGAAAAATAATAATATAGTTAAATTATGCCCAGAATTTTTTCAATCATCATTATTTTTCAAGCGATTAAAATGCTCCTGATTGTTTTTGACCCTTCAGTCTATTCCTGATTTGGTGAAATATAATGGGAAGTAAACAACACGACGAAACACTCGCTTTAGGACATTTTACTTCTTATTTTTAAAACAAGTTCCAAACATGATATTAGATTTTTTAGTTCGCAAACGCCTATATTTATTTTTTGAGAAAATTCGGTTCATGGAAACTTATTAGAATTAATATACTACTTATTCCACTTTCTAAGTAAAGGAACGAAAGTTCTGGGATCAAATCTTATCGAATCAAATATTTGTTGGTTACTTATTTCATACTTGAGGCGCTCGTAAGTACCTATTTACGAGCGGAAGGAGTACCTACTAAAGGTACGAGTACCTACTATAATGGTACTAGTACCTAATATAGGGGTACGAGTACCTACCAGGTACGAGTACCTACTATGAAGGTACGAATACCTGCTATAAGGGTACGAGTACCTACTATAAAGGTAGGAGTACCTATTATAAAGGTACGAGTACTTACTATAGAGGTACGAGTACCTACTATAAAGGTACTAGTACCTAATATAGGGGTACGAGTACCTACTATAAAGGTACGAGTACCTACTATAAAGGTACGAGTACCTACTATAAAGGCCTTTTCTATTTAAAAGCCACAGAGCACCTTGATTTGCAGAGCAAAGATGGCAACGAATGTATTCTGAAACAACGAAGGTAACACCATTGCCAAGTCGAAAAAAACTGATAAAAATTATGAATATTTCCGAGCACTGCTGATTTCTTAATACCAAAGACAGTCCATCGTAGAAAAAAATAAAATCTTTCGCTATTTAAATTTTAAATTCTAGCAGCATAAAATAAGCACTAAGGCACTGTTTGAAGGTCACTTTTATGACGCAGTTTTAATAAATTATTATCGCTTTCATTGCTACAGATTTCGTTGGTTTGAACGAGGATGACCCGAGGTTGATCGAGTACATCCGCCAGCACGTGATCGTGCCTCCCTCCACCGAGCCCTACAATTTGTACTATGGTGTCAACCACGATCCTTCCGACGGCCAGTCGAAAGTGATCGACGAATTGTTAAACCACAAGGTGATTGTTATACTTCCTTATATTTCAAATTCATTATAAGAGCGTTTTTGACAAAATTGCCCTCTTACATATTCCCAGAGAATTGACAAATTATTTCAACTTGACACTTAAGTAGCACAGATGGTTTGTAATGTATATATAGATCTTACATAAAGATAGTCTGACATTGCAAGGTCAGATAAAATCGAAAGTGGTCGACGAAATGTTGAACCACAAAGTAACATCATTTCCCCAAGGTTTTGGATTTGTTTAAAATTTTATGGAACAAACAACCCAAGTAACCAAATTGAAGAATTTTAAACGTTTCGAGAGGCATATATTAGAAGCTAATAGGTATTAAATAAAGGGTGTCTTAAAGTTCTTCATCTCTTTCCTCAGCTTCGTTAGAGTTATCTTATCTCTTCACACAGCTGAACGGTTTTTACATCGAGAGTGGAGGCTACACTGGAGAAGTGATGAGCAATACTCTATTTTTTGAAATCCAACGCAACTGGACCGGGATCTTGATAGAGCCGAACCCGAGAAACTTTAAGAAATTATTGTCAAGAAATCGAAAAGTACACTCAGCTAATGCTTGCATCGGAGAGACGAAAGCAGCAACTAAGGTAAGGGGCCTGAGAGTATCATAGCACCTAGATCTGGCTTTCCATCAAACTCACCGCGCGACAGATGAAGTCATCGCAATAAGTCATTATTTGACGATGCAGGTGTTGGAAATTAATGAACAATTCAACAAAATTGGTTACACTATGGCCTGTCTAAACTCTAAATAATCAGGCAAACTTTCATGAATAAATGACAGGAAGCTGCAGAAGGAAAAAATAAATATATATTCTTATTTCTTTTTACATGTGTGGAAACCGACAGAAAAAATCCCGCCAAATACAATTACTGTATTCTCATTTCTTCTCTCGCAATTAATTTCAGGATAATTACAGGTGGTTTTTAGGAACGAAAACATCAGGGGAGACATATTCCATTCTCATGAATATTACTACATTGGGTACCCATGGGACCTGAGCATTGCAAAATGTTTCCCGCTGTACTCGTTCCTGCTCGCACTGGGCACCACCACCGTCGACTTCCTTAGCCTCGACGTCGAGAGTTCCGAGTACAAAGTTCTGCAGTCCATCCCCTGGGACAAGCTCGATATCAAGGTGAAAAATACATCTGCAGTATTCGGTCAAACATTGCCATTTAGACTGACTGTAAGCACTTTGGAATACGGAAATTTACCGTAATACAAGTGACCATTTACTCACGTACGTACGTAATAAATTCAAACGGCGAATGGCTATCATACTTGTATTGAAAATATGAGCCTAACGTATGTTTGTGAAATGCTTCCTTTCAGACGTTATCCGTGGAGTACAACCTCATCCCTGAAGGGAAGCCTGCTCTGATAGACCTCATGAAGTCCAAAGGATACATTCATTACATGGAATTGAACCGGCCTTATTCGAACGACCTTATCTTCGTCAAACAGGAAGTGTGGGATAATTCAAAAGTTCGAAAGAGAGCACTTCCAATAATAGATATCAATAACACCATGAGTTGGATTGCACGGTCGAATTTTGAATCGTAATCTAGTCATCTTGAAAATATTGAGTAAGCTATGAATGGTGGCAATGCAAGTGGTAAGAAATGCACACTGCACAGCTCCACTGCAGTTGATCGCTTATTTTGTATTTTCGTATACATGTTGATCAATAAATAAATCGATTGTTGAGTGACAAAACTAGATGTTACGATCAACCTTTCTCCAGATGAGGTTGGAGCGATGTTATCAACTTATCATATATTGCGCAGTCTCCACCGCGTCTGCTTTGCAAGAGTTGATGAAGATGTGAGCGGTCAGGGAATGAGGGTAATGATTGAGGATATTCCAGAAGCAGTTAGGTGTGTGCAATTGTATTAGTTCGCAATGACACCTTTTGTCAGCCATAATGGGTCCTTATAGGAAAGGAATGGTTACGTCTTCCGATGTGCATGATCGCGTCATCCGGCGTTGCCGTTAGTGAGGCCTCTGCTGTTCGACCTAACCCGCGATTCCCACCGTAACTGGGCCATTGGCGTGGACAAGTCACAAGGGTGCCATGCACAAGTTGAATTCACCAGACCCTACAGCTCACACGGAATTGAGATCAATGCTCACTGTNGCTGGATTCTGTTGACCTACAAGCAGAAGAAATGTTGGTTGGCACTTACTTAATTCTGAAACCTATAATGAAAGAAACCCGTTGACGTCATTACACTCACCAATCACAAAAACCTGAGAATAATTATGAATGGAGAGATTAGACGTGAATCACCCCCCCCCCCTGCTCGTAGCATTTATTTCCCGGATACTGATTTCTATGCAGTAATTTTTATAATAACATTCACTAATAGTAATTCCTATTATAGTTGATATGCAGTAATTTTTTATATTGCCCCAGAATTTAGGCATGGTACATACATATTACACATTATGTACTAGGAAGGTAACATTTAACAAATCACAGATATTACACGTTTGTGTGTCGAGTGCCTACTGAGAAGTCTTAAGGCCCGTTTACACTAGTGGCAACGACATGCGCTTTTGAGTCGTTTGCTGCAGTGCCTCACCACGCACAACCGTTCACACTACTTTTGTACTCGGTAGTTTGAGACCGCGCGCTTTGATCCTTTGAACACTAGTTGCCACCTAGACGTCAATGAGGATGGATATAACCGAATTTGACTTTGAGCTGTTGGCCATTGTTCTCGGGTGTGCTGCGGTCCGTCATTCTTCGCACTATTTCAGTTGTAAACGAGAATTTAGCATAGGTATCATAATTAGAGAACTAGCACATTCAAAAAGATACAGTTTATAAAAAAAACATAGTCTATTCTTAAATAAAAAGTTCCAATATTCGTACCGATATTATATCATCCTTTGAAATCGCTAAACGGTAATGCATAAATTGTCAGGAGTTGCTAAAATCACATAAACTAAGCACGTCATGTAAAAATAACTTACATCATTTGTATTTCGATNTGGAACACATCCATGCGACAACATTTCTTCTCGCTTCGAGTCACCGACATGTGGAACAGCCTCCCTGATAGCATCGTTGACGCTCCGAGTATGAACATCTTCAAAAACAGACTAGACGAAGTTATGCAGGAGCATATATTCAGTCTTAAAATGCCTAGCAAATTACGCACCAGGCAATAAGTCCAGCAGCTATTTCAATCAATCGTCAGCTATGGAAAGATCGGGCTCCAAAGGCCGGATCCCTTGTGAATCAAGTCACGAAAAGTTCAAGAATCGGCAACAGGCCATGGGCCTATTTCTTCAACGCCGCCGACACTTCTATTCTAATAATTGAGTTTCCGGTATATTTCTGGTATGTTTAGCTAGGCAATCTGGTATTCTCGCCGAGTAAAAAGTTGGCAACACTGCCTGTATAATATAAATAGTGTCTGTGTCTTGCGAGTTGCGAGTCACTTGCGACTAGTCGACGACAATCGCTTATCAGCGTAGCTCGTGCGACTTGCTCGATCATGTCAAACTATATTTCCAAATCCAGCAAAATTAGTGTACACAAACTTACTAAAGATCCAACCCAAGCGTGGGAGGAACTAAAAAATGATCAGAAAGTTATCAAATTGAAAGTTTCAACTCCGAGTTCACCTGCTCCACTCAATGTGCTGCGATTTGTGTGCATGAGTGATACCCACAGCTTAACATCTCGATTAAAGTTTGATATACCAGATGGGGATGTATTTCTTCATGCTGGAGATTTCACAAGATGTGGGGATCTTCAAGAAGTTGAGAACTTCAATACCTGGCTGGGTGAGTTGATAGATATTAATATAGATATTATAGATATTAATATGATAGATATTAATATTTATCATCCTTAAGATTTTTACTTGAAAATTTGCAATGTACTAATATGTATAGAAAATTATACTCTAGCCTCTAGGTAGGTATATTCTTTGTTGGCATGGTGAAAAAAAATTTTGCTTAGCAAATAAAGAGTTGATAGAATTGTTGACTACTGTCTACTGGTAACATGTCATAACTCATAAGATGGCACTGTATAATGTTAAAATATATATACCTAGTGCATTAGTATTTAGTGATTAGGCTAGGTAGTGTAAACTGCTAAGTGAAATTCTTTAAGTATGTATAGACTGCCAATCTGTTAATTGTTATGGCAGTTTGTTGACCTTATATTGATTTAGCAATCATGATTATTACACAGCACAAAATATGTAATGTAATCTTGCACTGCCCAGGGTCCCAGGGACTTAATTAAAGAACTGGTAAATTAAATATCATATATAAGACAGTCACAGGGTCTTGAAAATAATTAATCATAAATGATTTATTAAAATTTAACTTCTTTACCACAGGACAGCTGACTCACAAACACAAAGTGGTGATTGCTGGAAACCATGAGCTTACTTTTGATGTTGAACTTACTGCTCCTAGAAACATGCATGGGAGATCTAGGCAAGCAGGTAATTTTGTTTTGTGATGGATATGTGGTAAGTGGTAACTGGTAATTATAGCATGTATGTCTGTTTCACTAATTTTTGTGAACTGAGTTAGTTGTTGAGTTTGTTGAAACTTTAAATTTAGGAAATATTATGCAAAAAATCAAATGAACAAAATGTTCCATGTTATTAGTATTACCTTACCATGCACCTATTTTATGATAAGTCAAACCACTTCATTTTTTATGTTGAAAATTAAATTTTTTATGGAATTACCTATTATCTAACAATTTTATTGATGGGTTGTAAATTTTTTAATGCTCCTTAATGTTTGTAATAGTTGATTTGTTCTTTGTGTTAATAAAATTCAATTTTCTAAATGCTAAAAATAATTCAATTGTTGCACTTGGTGTAATTCAATTTTCTTATAATATGAAAATAATTCAATAATTTTGGTAGACAGACCTGTGGATTCAATCCTACAAGTGGATCATCTGCAGAAGAATATAGAGACTGAAAATGGCCATGAGCATCCAAGTGCATTACTCACTAATGCCACTTACCTTCAGGACTCCCTCATCACTATTGCTGGGGTGAAAATATATGGCAGCCCTTGGTTTGTATGACTAACCTCATCTTCTATATGCTAAAGGAAAAACCTATTGCCTGGTTATTTTTTATGTACAGTCTTAATATATATACGTGCTGGAAGAAAAGAGAAGTTAGTCCTTTTTGTGTAACCTAACTTATCATTCATATGCATGCTAAGAAAATATTTATGACAATCCTTCATTTACACAATATGGTTTTCTCTTACGTTTGTTATATTTTAGTTGTGTACCTACTGCAATTGCATGAAAGTCATTGTTTTGTAGGTCTAGAATTATCTACTAGTGGCGATTATTGGATAAAAATATATGAATGCTGTTTGTATGTAAGTCTTTATATGTCTTAATGCTATTTTTCTATTGCTAAATTGAGAAATCTGCAAATAACCAAAAAGTTCTTTATCTAACCCTAGCAAAAGGAGATAAATGGATATAGAAGCTATCTGGCTCAGAAAGTTATCCATTTTAATTTATGAAAATAGCTCACATTCTCACTGCATTTTTATGAACTTCTGTGATCAAAGTGATGCAAAACTTTTATTTTATTTTTGACACAGGTCTGTCAACTATAGTAGTGTTTACGTGTGCCAGTCTCCATAGTTCTGTTCGACCTTGATTCATTTTCTGAGCATAACTTTTAACTCACAGGCAGCCTACTTACATGTCCATGGCATTCAACCTGCCCCGTGGTGCTGCATGTTTGGATAAATGGGATGCAATTCCTGCTGGTGTTGACGTCTTACTCACCCATTCGCCCCCTCTTGGCCACGGCGACTTCTGTGTTACAGATGTCCGTGCTGGCTGTGTCGAGCTGCTCTCTACAGTACAACAGAGAGTCAAGCCCAAGTATCATGTCTTTGGCCATATTCATGAGGGTAACAAATCTTAAACTGTTATTCATTGTTGCAGATTATGACTTCTTGGAATATTTTCAAGGAATTTTAGTGCATGTTGTCTGCCTGTTATTGACTCGTCAGTTTGCTTGATCTTCTTATAAATTATAATTTCACAGTGAAATAAATGTATAATATTTGTTATTATCATGTATATACAATGACACTACTTCTTTGATTAACTTGCTATTATATTTTAATAATAATAATTGTTAATAATTGCTTTATTTAATTTTGTTTAAAGATATTTACTCATCATACCTGCGTCACTGAAATTTTCTACTGTTTAAGATTCCTCAAGTTGATAGGAATGAGACGATTTAACTATAAAGCTGAATTACAGAACCGTCTTTTTTGGTTATTAAAACTGATGTATATTTTTATTGGTTGCAGGTTATGGAATCACCACAGATGGGCAAATAATCTTCATCAATGCATCGACATGTAATGTCAACTACTTGCCTTGCAATCCCCCTTTAGTGTTCGACGTTCCTATACCCCAAGGATATTCCAAGTAGCGGCCAAATGCTTTTATGTAATCACTCAAAAACTCTCTGCTGCTACTGGGTGAATTTATGCACTATCTTCAATGTCATTCATGTGAGAGTTCAGAAATAGACGTAATCCACCTTTAAGGTATAAGTGTGAAACTGGAGAGACTGTTGCAAATAATCAATTTACCTACGCTCGTTTTTGTTGAATTCATTTTGCCGACGCCATGGGATAGTTCTTTGGTATAAGTTCACTGCCGTATTATCAAAACTGAAAATACATCTGAGATGGCTGGGAAAGATGTACTGGAAGCTTGTTTATATAGTTATAATAATGAATGTCTATACATTAGAGATTTATTTAGGGTATTAATAGTTGCCAGTTTATCGCGTAAAACAGGAAATTTATTCTCTATATGTGAAAAATCAGAGTATTAATTTATAATATCATAAAGAACGTGTCCTAATTTTAACCCGTAGTAGTACTAGATTTCTAGCACCATTTCACTGTGATAGATTTCCCAAAGTCCTAAAACACATCTAGTTAGCGCATTTTCTCATTTATGGAAAAAATGCACTATGGTGCTCGCCATGTCTGTCTGTCTGTCCGTCCGTGACTTCAAGTTTTCGTCGACGAGAAATTGCGCTCTCTGTAACTCACTGCAGTGAGTACCGATTTATATTTTTTAGCGCATTTTCTCATTTATGGAAAAAAAATGCACTATTGTGCTCGCCATGTCCGTCTGTCTATCTGTCCGTCCGTGACTTCAAGTTTTCGTCGACGAGAAATGCGCTCTGTAACTCACTGCAGTGAGTACTGATTTATATTTCTTATTGTATAGACTAGTCGCGTGTTTTTTAACTCTAATATGGTGGTCATTATTTTATGTTACAATTATTTTTTGGTGCACGTTGACTTGAGATGATTATTTAGAAATCATCTTTTATAACTTCAAAGCATAGACATTTGACCAGGCACTTGCGAGATGCAAGTATAATTTTCTTATTTTGAATAAATAGACATCGTCGTTACAATGTTCAACTACTTGTCTCATAAAATATTATTATAAACAAAAGTTAAATTTTTGGACCTCGTTTGATATATGATGCTAAGAAGCTTACTAGAATTTTCATGCACTCACGCTAGATGCTAGTCAATAGATGCAGATTTGGTCATTGATGGACTATTGCTAGTTTTTCGAGCTGGGTCGTGACCTAATTAAATGCCTGGAGTATCGTACATCTGTCGCTCAACCACCATGAGGTACAGAACAATGTACTTCGCAGTTGCAAAAAAATGCCGACGTGCTATTTCTTTCCCAGGTTTGTTTTCAATCTTATAAGTCAGGTTCAGTAAAATGATAGAATGATATTAGATTAATTTTATTATATCCTCTCAATATATTTCTATGACTTTTTTGTATATTCATATACTATT